AGAAACCCAGTCCCCATTGATCTGGGGGTACCCGCTCTATTACCTCTATGCTTAACAGATGACAAATGGCCTCCTCTATGAGACCTTGTTTCACGGGATTTCTGGATAGGGGGCAGGAGATGAAGCGGCCGAGGGGGGAGTGTGAGGAACTCCAGAGACAGTCCGTCTCTGATAGTGGTTAGAACTCAATTGTCCGTGGTGGTACTTTCCCATTTGTGGAAATATAGTGCCAGTCTTCCACCAATGGGAGGAATCCGCCTCAAGTCACTTTGACTTTCGGAAAGGACGAGCTCCTCTGCCGTGAAAGGGCCGCTTAGCCTGGAATTGTGGCTTTGGCTTGTCTCTGTAGCCGGACCGGTCCGATGAGCGGTCCGGCCCTGCTTGAAAGGGCCAATGCCCGCTCCATGTAGTTCGGTCTGAGCCAGACTTGAACGACGGATGCTGGTTGTATGGAGAAAAACGTTTGCCCGGTTTTTTGACAACATGAACTAGTACTTTCAACTTTTCTTTGTTTTCAGTCAGGTAAGGAGTGAGAGCCTCTCCAAAAAGGCGACCCTTTTGATATGGTGCCGCAGCTACTCTCCATTTGTGCCTGGTATCGGCCTTCCAATTTTTTAGCCAGAATAACCGGCATGCGGCCACGTTGGAAGCTATGGCCCGAGCCGAATATTTGGCCGACTGCAGAGACACATCCGCCATGTATTCCAGTGCGGCCCTTAGTTTAGTGACATCCTGGTGAACCCTTACCTCGTCTGGAGATAATCTGGCCTGTAATTCCCTGAGCCAGATTAATGCAATTCTAGCGAAAAAGGAGTTAGATGTTGATGCTCTTATAGCCCAAGCCGATGCCTGATGGGTCCTTTTGAGGGAAATCTCAGACTTCTTGTCCTCAGTCTTAAGGGCCTCCGACATATCTCCTGGGATTTTGGTGTCTGACAGTATGGGGGCAAGAGCCTCGTCTACACTCGGAACTTCGAGGACATCGTTGAGGGAAGGGACCGTATCTAAGAGCTTACGATCTAATCCCCCAAGAGCAGAGAAACTTCCAGGAGATCCCCACTGATCCTGAATGGATTTGAGAAACATAGGGGGGCAAGGTATCTGTAGGTTCTTCTTGACCTGTTCCAGAAACAGTGGGTCAGAACTCTGTCCAGAGTCCTGATCGGTCGTCTGTGGTTTCACGGGTTCAATTTTTCCGGTGACATAGGCCTTTTGTAAAAGAGGATAGAAGGAATTTGGATTAAATACCCCTACCATAGGAGTGGCCTCCGCCTGAATGTCTTCCCCATCTGACCACATGCCTTCTTCCGGAATCTGAGCGGAAAAATCCGATATCTCGCTCCCTTCAGATTGAGGTGGAGAACTATGATCTCAGATCACATACTCCCTGGGATGCCTAGTTTCCGTGGGCGTAGGGGGGGTTGACGGTCCTTGGACCGGAATGGCCCTCCCTGAAGCCGCCATTGCCTGAGCCACTGCCTGTGAGATCATGGCTTGGAGCTGGACAGTAAATGAAGGATGTTCGGGGCCCCGAAGACCCGCCGCCGTCGGCGTGAAAGATGCTGAAGGGATTGGAGGAGGGACGACTGTAGTAACCTCCTCCTGAGACCCACAAGACACTGAGGAAGGTCCTGGCTCAGCAGCTGGAATTGAATCTTGGACCTGTAATCTCAATTCTCGATCAAAGAGGGACAGATGGTCCCGTTCATATCCCAGCAAGGAACCCTGGTCCAGGGTCTGCTCGGGAGACCAAGCCTGTGTACAAGGGGAAGGTCAATGCTCCCCTGATGTGGATGCAAGAGGAGATGAGGGGATAAGCTGCGTCTCTCCTGTCTGCCGCTGGGCTTTGGAGAATTGTCGCTCCAGCACCCTATGTCTGCTATCTGCTTACTTGTCATCGGCCTTAGAAGTCCGTTTGACCTTGGCCTTTGCAGGTGTATCCAGACTGGATGGCTTGTGTTTTATATTTCCACTGGAGGTGGAAGCCTGTGAATCAGTGTTATCCGCCATATTGAAATAAACAATCGGAAATAAACAACAGGTTTTCACCAGGAGATCCCTGGATCTGCCCTGTACTGCAGTAGAATAAAAGACAGGTTTTCACCAGGAGATCCCTGGATCAGTCCTGTTCTGCAGGAGAAGAAAGGGCAGGTTTTCACCAGGAGATCCCTGGATCGGCCCTTGGTCTGCAGGAGAAAGGAAGGCCACGGCCCACCTGGGTGGTATAGGCCTGCACGAGGGTCTGTGAGGTCCGGCCCACCGTTAAGCACGGAGTCACTACACGATATAAGCCGCGCTACACTCAGGGGCTGTCCTCCCCGTTCAATTTTTCAGGCCCACTGTAATAGAGACAATTAGGCCGAAAAGGTATCAAATATCAATTAAAGATAAGTCTATATATGAATATAGATATATATCTTGTTTATTTTAATTCTGTTTTATTTTAATTGATTTTTATTTATTTTTTTTATTATTTTTTTTATTTTATTTTTTTATTTTTTGACCCTCGTGTCTCACTTAGTGATGGCTAGGACAGTAAGTGCCGACCACTATGCAGACAGCGGAAAACAGGCAAGGCAAGCAGCCGTCCAATCTGTTGGCACTGGATATTTAAAAGGTACTGGTAAGTCACACAGTCTGGAATATTACCAGATAAAATGGAGTGAGAGACTCAAGGTATTTTCCCTGTATCCACTAGGTAACCTGAGATGGTGCCTATTAAGCAGCTGAAGCACAAGGTAATGAAGATCTAAAGGAATGTAATTAGAACTCCTATTCCCCCCCCACACTTAGGGAGAATCACCAAATAAGTAAGTTACTTTGTGACTGAAAAGGCTGTAATTAGGACAAAGCAGTCAATTTAATGTGTGCGATCGGGCGGAGCCCAAAATGGCAGCCGAGACGATCTAATGAGAGATAAAACAAGCTGAGAAAAAAGATCCTCTCCTGCAAGTAATCTGATAATAAGCTCTTTTAGTCAAACAGTTCACCTGCTGTTTTTTTTTTTGGGGGGGGGTAGTTTACAGCTGACAATCAACAGTAACAAGGAAGTACTTGAGTAGTGTGAGGATCGAGCCTTCTAGAGGCTCAAAATGGCGCCCGCAGGTTGTTTGAATTGGTAATAAACCTAAGAAGGTGATTTCAGTTTTCAGCTGAAAATTAGTAGTTTAAAGCTTCGCATTCACAGCGAAGATCCTGGGAGGGGGTGGGGGAGGTGGATTGTAATGAGGAGGCAGCAATCTACGATCAGCTGTCTGCCTCTAAAAAATTCACGGAGAAGGGAATTGATTAAGAGAGAAGAAATGGTGCAGCACTGAGCTCAGAGCTGAACCAATCCCCCCCCAAAGAAGGAAAAAAAGGATAGAGAAACCACGAATGGCAATAACTACCTTTCTGAATCTAAATTAGGAGCCAAATTCTCATGTGTCTTCAGGGCTGAGACCAAACGAAACTGGGGCATGGTCAGACCCTGCAGAGGCGTGGCAACTTTGATTGTTTGGTCTGATTGGGCTAGAAGACTAAATCAATCCATCCTTGGAGTCTACATTCCTCTACATGCTGGAGAAAAGATTATTTCTCCCCGAGTTAAAGTTTCCAGCACTTGCAATTTTTACTTCTCCTGGTCAGCTCTGTCTGCTTTTAAATTACTCACAAATCCCTTTAAAATGCAGATGTGGATGCAGCATCTTGCTTTGCTCCTAAAGCTCAGAGCAAAGACGTCCTGGAGTGCGGAGAAAGCCTCAGGCTCCAAGGAAACTCTCATCCTCCGACCTCCAAATAATTAAGGAGGCCCAGGGGAGCTCTACCTCTACCCGAGGAAAACTCTCCCCCCCTCTTCTCCCGAGGGGGAGGTGTTAAAGCCGCGGGACAGCTGATTTTCGCTGTCTCCGCGCGCTTTTCACACAATCCCAGGACTGGCAGCCAAAAGAAAGCCGCCATCGGCACAGCATCACCACCGGAAGCCAAGTCATGACAGTTCTTAAGTGGGCCATGTGAGCATATCGGAATTTATGACCTTTTGGGGGGATGGTTGTTAAGCAAATACAACAGTTAAAAGCAAACAATAGCCATTAAGCGAATCCAATGTTTTCTCTGAGTCTTTTTTTTTTTTGCTGGAAAACTGGTTAATGTCCATTTCTGGCAAAAATATTATAAATCATGGCCTTGTGACTGTGGAAAGTGGCAAATTGCCATAAATGTAGGCTGGATGCTGAGTGCCCAAAATGTGGTCCATGGGGGGAGGGGCATCGGAATTTTAATCTAGGTTATAAGTACTTTTTTCAGAGTCTGTTGTAACTTCAAACAGTGCCCAAACAACTGGTCATAAGTCGTGAACTACCTATATATCATGCATTTTATTTTTATCTTTTTTACTGTAAGTCATCCCAAACCACTTTTTTGAGATGGCTATATAAAACAAACACATAATATGTAATATAAAATAAGATGGAAAAGCATATTTTTAAATTGCAATGACAAATAATATCATCATCATTTTAGCCATTATCTATCTACTGCAGGATGAAGGCCTCTTCCACATGTTTCCTGGCATGTGGAAAGAATAGACCATAATCTGCCACAATGATCAGTGTCAGTCTGGGGTATCTATCATGGCCTGTTTGCCTTGGAAGACCTTTCTGGACATATACATGTCCGAAGACATAGGCCACGATTATATTATTATATTATATTATATTATATTATATTATATTAGATTAGATTATATTACATTACATTACATTATATTACAGTATATTATATTATAATAATATAATATAATATAACATAATATAACATAAATAATGTAAGAGAATAATATGTTTGTAGCCTTTTGCCCCCTCCACAAATGTTCATAAGAGGACAACAGAACATGACCAAATTGTGGTTGTCAAGGCCTAAATATTGGCCTTTCTTGAATTTTGAAAAACAGTTATTACTTATCTGAAGCTCAACATTTAATATTAATTTTAACATTTAAAGTTGGCACAACTGCTGCTTACCTTTTCATTAGCCATTGCGTGATACCACCAGAAGAATCTTGTTGTGATAAAATAAGCAATTACAACATCTACAGTGTAATGCTCATGTCCTACCAGGATACAGATTATTCCAGCAACACTCATACACCAGCAAATCAAGTGATACCACCAAAAATGACGAGGTGAATCTGTTAAAAAATTATATAAAACATAGGCAATCATATTCTATTCTGAGCACTACAGTTCAAAATTACAGTTATATTTGTCTTACCAGGTGACTGAAGGATAAATGGTGTTGCTATCTTTAACACTGGGAAAAGGGAGACCTAAGTAATTATAGACACAACCAAGTATATATATAGGTATAGGTATAGGTATTGGTATAGGTATAGAATGTGAGGATTTTGAAAAGAATGCATTGCTTGGCAGCAGCCAGCATGGGTTTATCAAGAAAAACATGCTAAAACAAGCTATTTCCTTTTTTGATAGAATAATCAGTTTAGCTATCCAGAGGAATGCCATGATTTCAAGAATGTAATCAACAAGGTCTTCCATGAAATATACATACATACATCTATGTAGGTCTTTGGTTATTTGGGTTTTCTCCCGCATCAAATTGGAAGTGTCTTGGTGACGTTTCGACGAAGTCTCATTCGTCATCTTCAGGCTGGTGTTTTCGGCTTTGTGCTTCTAGGAGCAATGTGTGATTGTAGCTGTTTCTTCCTTTTAACTCAGTGGTTCTCAACCGGTGGGTCGCGAACCCCATTTGGGGTCAAACGACCATTTCACGGGGGTCGCCAAACAACACAGTCCGCCATTTTTTCCCCTTTTCCTTAGCTGTGCTACTCCCTTTTATTCTATTGGCTTTTGAAAGCCAATAGAATAGACTCTCTTGAATAGAGTCTTATTCTATTGGCTTTCAAAAGCCAATAGGAATTGTCCAGGCTGTCTCTGCCCTGCTGAGCCTGCCAAAAGTCCAATTCTGCAAACGATGCTGCACCAGTTGAGTAGTCCTCGACTTGACCAGTTGGGGGTTGCGGCATTAAAAAGGTTGAGAACCACTGTTTTAACTGCCAGTGGGTGTATGAACTGATTGGATGAGAGCTTGGCTGTGTTCTGATTGGATGGAGGTGTGTTCTGATTGGTTAGGAGTTGGCTGTGCTCTGATTGGATGGGTGGTTGGCTGTGCTCTGATTGGATGAGGGGTTGGCTGTGCTCTGATTGTTTGGGGGAGTGTTCTGTTTGGGTGGGGGCTTTGTTGTGCTCAGGTTAGTCTGAGTTGCACAGGGATGTTGCACAGCCAACTCCTAACCAATCAGAACACACCTCCATCCAATCTGAACACAGCCAAGCTCTCATCCAATCAGTTCATACCCCCACTGGCAGTTAAAAGGAAGAAACAGCTACGATCACACATTGCTCCTAGAAGCACGAAGCTGAAAACACCAGCCTGAAGATGACGAATGAGACTTCGTCAAAACGTCACCAAGACTCTTCCAATTTGACGCGGGAGAAAACCCGAATAACCAAAGACCTACATACAAATACCTGCGAAAACCTCAGAAAACATATCTATGTATATATGTGTGTGTGTGTGTGTGTGTATAAATATATATAAATATATAAATGACCCAAACATAGGGATATAAAACCACTTTAAAGGACAGTATCAACGTTCAAGAGGATATGAAACTGCAATAAATAGAAACCAACAAGATGAAATTTGAAAAAAGACAACTACAGAGTCCTGTAATTGGGTAGGAAAAAACAAAGGTGTGAACCTAGGATGGAAAGAACTACATTGAACAGTGGTAAGCATGAAAAGGATCTAGGTAGACCACATGTTGAACATTGAGTCAATAATGTGATGCATGTCAAGCTATGAAACCTACTGTCTTTAGGACCGCTGCATTCTAGCTTGCCAACAGTGCAGGAGGGAAAGAGGGGAGAGTTTTGAATCCACACAGATGTTCCTTATCGACCATTGAAGAGTTGTTTTGGCAAACTAAAATTTCTTTTCATAATAATTACTGGAGGATATATTGGACAATGTGACCTGAACTATCAGAGAGGGGAGGGAAGGTTTCATTCTTTTAATTAACTGCTTCCCACCATTTTCTTAGAGCTAGCTTTAATTCTATCATACCAATTTGCTAATGCCTAATAAAGTTAACATTAGAGAACACAATACCTCTGGAGTTTTGCTTTGTTGAGCTTCTCAGCTGGAATTTGACAATGCAATTACAAAACAAAAAAAATTATGGGAGGGGATGGAATGGAATCCTAGGTTGTATCATTAGAAGTATGATATCAAGCTAACACAAAATCATTGTTCTTTCTACTCTGTATTGGTCAGACTGTACTTAGAATATTGCATCCACGTCTGGGCACTACATTTTAGAGGACACTGACACTCTGAAACACATCCAAAGAACAATTAAGATGACGAGGGCCCTGGAATGAAAAACCTATGGGAATGATTATAAGCTAGACATATATTCAACCTAGAGAACAGAGGACTGTAGAGATATGATTTTTCATTCTTAGTGTTTTCCTACAAGAGCATGGTCTGCTTTTTTACAGATCAACTAAATGTTGATTCATTGGTTGGATGAGGAATTGATTGACCAGCTTATCGCCCAAGCTTGACATCATGAGCTGAGAATGACTGGCCCAAAGTTATTCAGGACTAGTCTTAGACTTTTAAGGGAACAATACAACTCAACAGTCTTCTGGTTTCTAACCTGGTGCTGGCATTAAACATTTTTGCGAAAATATTTTTATTTTTGAAAAAATGTAAATATTGAAACTTACATTCCTTGATAAATAGGTAAGTGAGTGTTAACACTACAGTGTGTCCACTGAATAGAAAATCTCCACATAAGATATGTGAGCCTGTTATAGACAGACCACCTCCAGAAATTAGTTGCAGAATTCGCTGAATTTTAGCTTGAGAATCACCATTTAGCTAGAATTAAGTAAAAAAGAAGAGAGAAATACTTAAATTAAAGGGTACATTTGACAGGATAAAACATTTTAACACAACTTCAAATTAAACAAAATGCATAAAAATACGCAAAATAATTTATCTATAGCATTTTATAGTATCTATGTGAAACTTACCAAAAAAGTTTACAACAATTAAAAGCCAGTAGAACATCATCAGTCAGTGTAGGAAGTAAACCATTTGGCTCCTTGGCAGACAAGTTTCAGTCCAGGATACAGTATTGAAACTGTACTGGTCATACTTGTGGATGATCTTTGGGGAGGCTGGGATTGTGAAAAGCAACCCTCCTAGTACTCTTTGATCTCTTAAAGGCCTTCAGTCCATAGCATCCTTCTCTGGTGGGCTGGAATAAGGGGAGGCACTGTCTTACAAAGAATCTCCTCCATTCTAAAAGATCAATTCCAGTTGGTAGGGAAGGGGAAATCTACTTGTAGATCTCTAATTTGTGGACTGCCTCAGAATTCTCTTTTCACTATACTTCTCATTAATAGTTACATAAAATTGCTGAGGGAGGCCATCAGTAGAGATTAAGCTTCGTGTCATCAGTAGAATGATAATACCTTGTTAGACATCTCAGTTCTGGGATGCATCAGCAGTATGGAAATGCTGACCCAGATGTGCTTGTCAGGGGAGAAACAAACTCAGATTGAATCCTTTCAAAATAGAATAACTTTGAGTTTATCAGGCAGATTATCCCAGAGAAATACCATTTTTCACTCTGAATTGAATTTTCTTTCCTTTTCAGGAGTAATTCATAATTTGGTGGTCCTCTTAATTCAGAGTTTCTCCTCACTAAGCAGATAGCACTTGTGGTTAAGACAGCTTTTGTACAGCTATATTTTGTGCATTAGTTGTGGCCACTGATGGATCAAGAGGCTCTTCTCACAGTCACTCATGCCCTACTCACTTGCTATTTGAAATACTGTAATGAACTGTCCCTGAAGAACATTTAGAAGCTGCATCTGGTACATAAAATGGCATCCTAGACAGTGATGGATTTTTCATGATATACCTGAATAACTTGGCTGCTTTAAGAACTGTGCTGATTGATAAATGGCTCTACATGGCTCTGGCCCTAGTTACCTAGGACTAACTTCTCCTATATTCATTTGTCCATCTGACCAGATCTAATACGGCCAATTCCCTCCTGGTTATTATCTTTAGAAACTGCCATCTGAGAGGGCCTTGAAAGCTGGCTGAAAGCTTTCCCCCCCTTCCTTGAATCTTCCTCCAGGTGGATGTTTCAAGGCATCACTGTCCCTCCTTTAAGAAAGCTGTCAAAATGTACTGTATCTGTTCCATCTTGGATAGGCAGAGGGAATGCTTTGATTGGAACTGGGATTTGTGAGCATATGGCTCTTGCTTTCTCAATTTTTAATAGTTTGATTTTGCCATTTTTAAAAAATGTATATGGAGATGTCAGTGTCTTTCCCGAAAGCCTTCAAGATTGGGAAGCATACAAAATGAAGTAGCATAATGATACTATGAAACTATTACAACTACATGCTAATATATTTACCTTTGGAGCACACTGAAAATGCATTCCAGGTACAGGTAAAGTGGTGACATACATGGTAATGCACCGATAGAGGTAAAGAGTTCCCAATATAAAAAAGAACCTTCGTCCTACTATTGATCTGAAATATATATAAACACAAACATATTGAGGAAAGAATTCTTGAGGCATAATGCTAGCAGTATATAACATGTCTATAAAAAAAGATTGTTACAATGGCAGTTACAGCACAGTGGAATAAAATGTAGAAAAAAATATGAAGAAACACTGCCTGCTCCAAAATTATGTTTTGATTATATTAGTTTTAAAAGGATGAGAAAAAAATTCTACAATAGTACCTTTCTTCTATATTTGGCTGGTGGCTGTGAAAATCATAACATTGGACCTGTTTTGCACATCACAATCTTAGACATTACAGTAATATAAAACAACATCTAAGCACGGAAGAATTTTGGATTGTCAAAAATTAGCAGCATGCATACTTAGCATAATCTTAACTTTTAAATAATAAAAATTTGCTACTCTGCTGTAATGGAGAAAGTCCTTGAATGAGCTATTTTAATAGTATTATGAGGTACCCTATCTCCCCAAAATATGGAGATGGGAATCAATCACCTTGCTTTGATCAATGAAAGATAGAGGTGCAGAAATCAAAGAAAATAAAAAAAATATAAAGAAGTGATTTCCAATTATCTTTTACAGCAGTTATAATTATAAATATAAAATAACCTCCTAAGGTTACAGTATTGTATATATTTATCTATAATCTATTACTTTTATTCTAATCCTCAAAATCATAGATCATTCATAATATCATTTTTTGTTTCCCACAAAAAGTCAAAAAAGGATTAGCATTAAATTTAGACAGTGTCCTAGCTCTAATTAAAGCAGTCAATTTGTCCATTTCAACAAGGTCCATCATATTAACTATCCATTTTATATACATTGTGGTTGAAGTCAAATCTTTTCACATATAATAGTCTCACTGCATTCGTCATATATAAAAAGAAGCTCCATAATTTTTTCTTACTATCTATCTATCAAATATTCATTTTTCACAATAGGTCACAAATTATCTACTCACTTTCTGCCAGCATTTCCACATCTTATCATTTCTTCACTCATTTTTCCATCTTATTTACTAGGATACACAAATTCATCTTTCTGCGCTAATTTTTTGCTAATTATGTGTAGCTTATAATTGTTCATTGAATTTTCCTTGTCAAACATAATTCCATTTATCTTTAGTACATAAATATTTAGAACTATGCTCCTTGTTGCATCATACAGTCTAACATTCATGGCAAACCATCTGAGTTTACAATTAAAACAATACAGCATAATCTGCATACAAAAATACATGCACGTTCATGCATCCAACCAACATACCTCAAATTATCCTACAAACATTTCTTATACATTTACTCATAAAAGCAACAACAAAAGTCCATCACACATTCAATAAATATTCCACTTATATTGCTCTTATGGTGTGGGGGCACAGTGATTAGAATGCAGTATTGCAGACTAACTCAGCTCACTACCAGGACTTTGATTCTGACCAGCTCAAAGTTGACTCAGCCGTCCATCCTTCTGAGGTCGGTAGAATGAGGACCCAGATTGTTGGGGGTAGTATACTGACTGTAAACTGCTTAGAGAGGCTGTAAAGCACTATGAAGCAGTATATAAGTCTAAGTGCTATTACTATGGTAATCAGCAATCAACATTCATTCCATGTTCATGTAAAACATTCAGTACTTCAAGCCTATTCATATTATTATATGCATTCTCTAAATCAACAAACCTATGAAACACTTTTTGACATGTATACGTTTCTCAATGAACAACTTGAGAGCAAAAATGTTGCTTGCATATATCCTCCTGCCACACTTGTCAAATATTATTGTCATCTCTTGTAACTCAATCAAAATGTTACCAAAGTCTTTACTTTAAAAAAAATATTTTTGCATTTATTCTTACTACCTTTCCCTTTGTACAAGGAGAGCAGTAATGGCATTCTTCCCATCATGAAGCACAGATGCAGTTTTCATGTGTAATAAGCAACTTACTGACACAATCAATCATTCCTTAAGCAAACCGCACATTTTAACATTGTTCCAGTTATAGCATGTGCTCAGGGTTATTGAAATTCAGGTGGCATACAAATTTAAATCATCATCATAACTATCATTGTATCTATATATTCACCATTGTCATTTTCAACATGATCCCAGCATTTACGATATGCCTGTCATCAAATATTTTGGAACAAACTTTTATAATAAATTACCTCAATCCCATTCTTTAACATAATTTTTTCCATACTAATCTATCAAATACTTCTAGCATTATCCCATTTCAGTTTCATCTGAAATTTTTTCATCATTTTTATTTTTCTCTTATTTTCATTTTTTGTAGCAAGCCATTTTTCATCCACAGCCTATAGCAGCGGTTCTCAACCTATGGGTCGCGACCCCATTTGGGGGTCGATCAACCATTTCTCGGGGGTCGCCAAACAAGGCGATCCGCCATTTTTCCCCCTCGGGGGGCGGCGCCGCGCATGTGCGCCACGCATGGGGGCGCCGCCGCGCATGGGGGCATGCGCGGCACATTTGTGTGACGGGGGTCGCCATCACACAAACGTTGAGAAGCACTGGCCTATAGCATTTCATTTTGTCATTCCACTATCTTCCTATAATGTTCTATTTCCACTCTCTTCTTTCACTTCTTGTCTTTCCAAATGATCTATTTCTTTCATTCTTCATATTACCAAACACTTTTTCCACATTCAGAATTTCCCACTGCTTATGTATTCATTCCTTTCCCACAAGTACAGTATGTGAATAATAATATCTAAACCACTTATTAAAAACAAATTTGCCTTTCTGTAAGAAGGTATTCATAAGTCACAATTATCACTCATTCCTGGGTCTCCAAATGGCCTGAGCACTTTATTTTTCCCTAGATTATATTCATTTGGAATCTTGCGTAAGTTCTCCCAGACTCATCTCTTCCTTTCATTATTATTGCAATTATTATCAACCTATAGATTTCTACTTTCATAGAAGCCCACAACAATGTAGATGATACCAACTCATACTTATGACATACGTAGCTATTTTATTCATAATTAAACATACCTTTAGTTCCTTACATGGATTTCCTTAAGATACAGGTTTTCCTCAAATTACAATCAGAGTTAGGACTGGAATTTCAATTGTTAAGTCTTTGTGATCCATAAGCTGAAGTACCAAGTGACTCAATTTTATAACCATTTTTACAATGATCACACAGATCGTCACTACAGTTGTCAAGCATACCACATAATTATAAGCATGAGTGTTTTTATCCAATGGGCATTTTGCCATTAAATAGCATAAAATGATGCAAAACACAATCACTGGACTATGGGATTCTGCAACCAGTTGTAAATGCAAATAGGCTGCCAAGCACCCACGAATTATGACAGGACCACAGGGTTGATGCTGCAATCATAACTTTGAGGATTTTTTTAAAATTCTAATTTAGAACAGTCCTACGTCAAGGACTACCTGTAGATCATTTTCATTCAGATCTATTACAATCTTCCCCTTTCTCTTAGTTTCACATACACACAATATATCCTTTTATTTTATCTATTTTTTTTCTTTGATTTAATGTTAATTCATGCCTATTATGATTTGTCTACATTCCAAGTCACAACTTGCTATATGCCATAATCATCATAAACAGGATACTAGATATATATTGATCTCTGCCATTCATCATGGTGAAAGGAATGAAGTATTATTCAGAAATTTCTAATGAGTCTAAAGGTTGCTAGAAGAAACCACCTGAAAATCATAAATAACAATTAAGGTTGTCTATCTATCTATCTTATCTAAAATGTTGACAAGTACAAATGTGAAAAGTAGGAGTTGCTAGAAGAAAAACAACATCTGTATATAAAGTTTAGAGCTCAAGGCATAACCGCAGACAGATGAAAGGAAGCTTGGTTGATAGAAAAGAAGATGGTGCTAGATAAGAACAATAGGCTTCCGGATTAAAGTGTCGGGTGAGATAAGAGGGTGTTGAGTGCAATAGGGGAGGAAGAAACCTGCTTTGGGGAAAGGATATAAAATGTGTCAAACAGCTCTGGGAGATGTGGCTGAACTCCTGTGTGTGTTTTAGCTCACCAGGTCTTTGTAAACGCTTCTTTTTGAATAAAACTTTGTTGCTGGAATTCCAAGTGAGTTTGTTTGTTTTGTGATCTTGAGCCACGTTCCAAACAATGGCTTCTACTAATTTCATACCTGTGTGTGTGTGTGTGTGTAGACATACACACACACACACACACACACATACACACACACACACGTATCATATGTAGGCTAAATTCCCAAACTTACTTTGATAAGCACACTAGTGGTCAGTTTCAGCACATTCTATCCAACATTCCACCAATACAAGTAAACCCCAGTTTTATCCAAATCTGTTAATCTTATTCTGTGCAAATTACAATTCATAATCTACAAATTATCTAATCCAGTGATGGCAAACCTTTTAGAAACCGAGTGCCCAAAAACTGGCCCTGCCCCTGCTCCACCACATCCCGCCCCCGCTCTGCCTATCCCCCACCCCACCTGCCCGCAGGGTCACTCACCGCCTCCAGGCAGCCCAGCAGCGCTATGTCAGTTACCCCCTCTGCCTGCGCTCTGCAGCATCAACTGTGCACAATGGGGTATGAGGGCAGAGTCTTGTCTACGCTGCCTGACTGCCATGTCCTTGGCACTCTGCTTTGCGTGGGCCACGCTCAGGGGTGACTCTCCTTCAGGGGGACTGCTGGAGAGGAGAGGGTCGCAGGGGGAGGCGAGACTGGGGCAACAGCACGTGTGCCCACAGAGAGGACTCTGAGTGCCACCTCTGGCACCCGTGCCATAGGTTCGCCACCACTGACCTAACCAGTTAGCATATATTACCCAATCTCTCCAACTTGAACGTATTTGTTATATTTTGACATTCAGGATGCAGATTCTTTTATTTCTATGATTGCATTATTGCAATTGCAAAAATCTTTGTTAGCAAAAATTATTGCAATTGCAAAAATCTCTCAAATATATTGATATTTACATACCTATAGATCAGTGGTAGCGAACCTATGGCACAGGTGCCAGAGGTGGCAATCGGAGTCCTCTCTGTGGGCACACGTGCCATTGCCCCAGCATTGCTTCCCTCCGCAACCCCCTCCTCACCAGCAGCCCCCCTGAAGGAGTTGCCCATGAGCGTGGCCCACACATAGCAGTGCAGCCAAGGGCATGGCAGCCAGACAGCATAGACAAGATTCTGCCCTCATGCCCCATCACGTACAGTTGATCCTGCGGGGCGCGGGCAGAGGGCGTGGCTGCCATGGCCTGCTGGGCAATCTGCAGTGGGCCCTGGAGGCAATGAGTGGCCCTGCAGGCAGGCAGGGTGGGAGCGGAGCAGGGGTGGGGCAGGGGGTGGAGTGGGGGCCGGGCCAGTTTTTGGGCACTCAGTCTCTAAAAGGTTCGCCATCACTGCTAAAGATCATTGTATACAGTGCATTTAAAAACATTTAAAGTTGTCAATTTCTACAATAAGAAAAATAAAAGCAAAAAACCTACTTACTTGTATTTAAGAAACAACCATTGGATTATCCATATTCCAACAAGGATAATTCCATTTATTTCTGATACAGAAAAAGCCCATTCCACGCGATCAATATAATCAAAAAATTTATCTGGCAACGGAGGACTGAGCTCCTTGGGAGGTACCCTCTCATGTACCACTGTGATCATGACAGTTGTTAAAACTAAATTGAAGACAGCATATACAAAGGCAATGCCCGTTTTCCACCATTCCAAAGGAAACTTGTTTCTAGATTCAGTGGGCATGGAAATTTGTGTGTATTCTGGATAATTTTTAGCACCTTTTCGCAAACCATTGGATAAACTCTTTGGTTTGTTGCTGCCATTCTTGTTTTCCTCACTAACAGTCAGAGCAGGTCGAGCATAACCATTGGAAGTTTCACTGGTCTGGCCTTCCATATGTTCTTCAAGCTTTGCTGTCTCTATGGTATCCATCAGGTTTAATATGTGTGACAGAATTAATGAATTCTAGTTTGATTTCCAAAAATATCGTCCACTTCTTTTTTTAAAGTCTACCTCATCCACTTTCACCCACTTTTATTCTTTAAACAAAGCATACAGAAACTGTAAGTCCCACTTTGAGCCACAGCTTTGGTTCTTCGGTAGATTTTTCTTTTAAGAATCATCAACATGCTACCTGCAATTACAATTAACATACAATAATTAATACTGTTAAATATACATATATTCATGTATAGATAATTTTGCACCATAAAAAGATATATAATAAAAAGATATGTAATAAAAAAGACCAGGGAATCATGAATTTAGGAGGACTTCTTGTTTCAATTAACAATGTTCATAAAAGTTTAGACAATCTGGGTTGAATTCTCATTGGAGTTACAGATACAAATAAATCACATAATATTTGATGTGCTAAGCTAAAATGTGGCTTGACTGTTTTTGATCTAGCATGTTAATTATTTCTAAACCATAATTTAGGGCTTATTAGTTGTGCAAAGGCAACCATGTATGGCTTAGTCAGTAAAGTACTGTATGGTAAATTTTGTCTTATTGTTTTATGTGAATCTGGGCGACATATGTGTTACACTATAAGAGAACTTGGACTCATCCTTTGGCCAAAAAAATATCAGTTCCCCCACCTTCATCATTATTAGACATACCAGTCAGCTGGTAGGATTGAACAAACAGAGGGGGGAAACCCACTTAGACAGACAATGGGGTCAGAACTACCACGAAAAATCTATAGTAATTAAGCAAGTAGTAAAAGGAATATGATTTGAATGTTCTAGTCACTATGGCTTTACAATGCTTAACTTGACTCATATCTGTTTTCATACCAGTGTACGTAAAATAATCAGCCAAAAGGATATCACAAATACCAAAATAAGGCAGTTATTTCAATAATAATAAATCTATGTTACAAATACTTTATCAAAAGCAAAATTCAATAAAAGTCTGGGTGACACGAAACAAGCTACAACTAAAGCCAAGTGCAAGAAAGTTGCTTTTTATAGAATAGGATTCTGTCAATGCCAGTATTACCTCTGTGTGGGCAAGTAGTCTCTGCAAAAGAGCAAACTGACAATTTGAGAGTCCTCATGGACTCATGGCTCCTGTTTGAATAGCAAGTGGAGACTATGATTAGAAGGGTCTTAGCTTCATTGGTGTACCAATTACTTTACTTGGTTTAGGAGGAAGCATGTATAGTAACTCACATTCTCACTACCACCAGGTTAGATTACTGGAATATGCTTTACATGGGACTGCCCTTAAACATTACTTGGAAATGGAAACTAGTCTAGAATAGAGGTTCCCAACCCCCGGGCCACAACCCGGTACCAGACCACGGCCCATTCAACCGGGTTGCACAAGCAGCAGGTGAGTGCACTCACATATGCAACTCTACTTCTGCAAATGGAGATGTGAATGCGAGCATGCTCACCCACTGCTTGCACAGACCTCTGCTGCCGGTCTGCAAAACCAGAAAAGTTAGGGACTCCTGGTCTAGAACACAGCAACTTGCATGCTTCCTGGTTCTCGGTATTGGGAATACATAACACCAATTCTGCAATCCCTGCACTGGTTGCCAATTGGCTTCTGGATACATTTAAAATGCTGGTGCTGACTGATCAGTCATTTTATAGCTTCACATTTAGGACAGCCTGCTCCAGCCAGAATCATTCTGACCCACTAATTTCTGCAGGGAGACACTTGTAGTCCCACATTTTTAGGAGAGATGAAGGGCTTCCAATTTTGTGCAGTTAGTGCGACAGCTGAGGGATCACAGGGCTCCGCACTCTACAGCTGATTTCTTTCTGTTTGGGGGCCCTAAATGGGCCAAAAGCCACCCCAGAGAGGTGGAAAAGGAGAAACATCCTGCCGATCGTGGGGAGATGGCAGTCGATCTGGACGTCCGGGGAAAGCTCTCCAGAAACAAGCAGAAGAAAGACTAGCCAAAGCTACATGCAGCCAAAGCCAAAAAGTACTAATTTAAGCATGATCGTAAATAGTGTAATTGAACTGGATAAGGATATTGATTCTCTCTCTTCTACCTGCTTTTTCCTGGAAAAAAAACCCAGAAGTAAAAATCCTCCGAAACTGAGGGGGGGGGGGATCTTTGCTCCACCCTTCTCTAAACGGAAGTGGCGAATTAAGTTTACGGGGAATAGAAATACACAGAAATAAAATCAATATAAGATTTAAACTTGGAAAGTGTGAAATTGATGGAATTTATTAAGAGTCTCCTGGCAAAAGATTATTGACAGAAATAAATGGTAATTATTTGTTTTGAAAATTGAAAGATGAACTGTTGCTGACATCTACTGGTGGATGAAAATACTGCCCTAAATACACAGCCCAGAAAAAAAAATATTGTGACCTTCAAAGCTTTAACTAAAGAACAGCTACAATAAAAGAAAAGAAAACATTATGGACTATTTACACAGTGAGAACTATAAAACCTAGAAAAAATTGATCTTCCTGGATTATAAATACTTTTTAAACTGTGACTTTAAAGCCGTTGGAAAGGAAAACTTTGATTTTTGGTCATTATGGAGCATCAGAGGTCTGCAGAAAGAACATATCAAGAAAAAATAAATACTTCCCAGGAGGAAATGTATGTTATGTTACAACAAATACAAATGACATTAATTTCAAACCACGGGGAAATTAAAAATAAATTTGAAAATTTAAATGAATATATTCTTAATTTAACATCACAGCAAACAAATGATCAAAAAACAAAAAGAGAGAGAGATCAAGTAAAGCAGATAATTAAACATAAACTAGTGGAAAGAAACTTAGAGATGGAATTTAATGGAAGGAACTGTGATGTAATCCAGATGGAGAAAAGCTTCCAGGAAATACTGAACATATTGATGGTTATATATAAAAAAAACAATAAAACATTTTTTTTAAAAAAAAGAAGAGCTGAAGGCAAGGCTGAGAGGCAATGTTTTTTCATGGTAGTGCCAATATTTTGGAATGCCTTCTTTATGGAGATCAGACTCACCACCTTCTCAGCCAGAATTCCAAAAGAAAAGGGTGCATTCTCTTAATTTAAACATTGTTCAAAACATTGTTCAAAACATAAAGTATGCTCAAAACACTGTGCCACCTTTGTAGTTTTTCTTTGTTTCGGTTTTTTTTATGTTATTATTTTTAATCATTCCATGAATGTTTTTATTTTTTTATATTAGAATAACAGAATAACAGAGTGGAAAGGGCCTTGGAGTTATGTACTCTGTAACATGCTGAAAGTCATCAGATTTTGATGGGGTATAAGTTTAAATAAATAAATATGGAAATGACTACTGTTAGTATTAATTGAATTTGTTATGTTCTTATATTGCACAGTACAAAATGATTTTTGCAAGCCTCTTTATATTTGTTGGCTTAATATACATAGATAGCATTTTTAAAAGATGTTCAGGCATTAAAAAATGGAACACAGTTGCTATTTTAGGACAAATGACTGATCTCCAAGTACAGCTTTCAAGACACTGGAGAATACAATCAGATCGAGACAGAGAGAAGCCTTACCTCAAACCAAGCACTTTGCTTTGTATTATAATCTATAAACATTAGCCATAAAGAATTGTTTCATTTTATAAGATAAAAACAGTAAACTGATACAACTAATGATTCATGTAAACCATTATAAATGAAGTGTACATTCAGGAAGAAACACTGGATGAGATTCTAAAGACTAGAAACAAGAGTGCATTTCTAGCATGGTGTAGCTGCCTTCATAATTCATGCTATACTTAGATACCCTCAACCTATAAGCTTCTGGATAGGCTATCTGAACTGACTCATATATATGTACAACCCATTATAGGTAAGTCCTTGGTTAACAACGGCAATTGGGACTGGAATTTCTGTCACTAAACAATGCAGTCATAAAGTGCAATGTCATGTGACAATGCCACTTAGTAATTGCAGTCCTGGCATTTCTGGTTTCTGTTAAGCAAATCCCACAAAGTTAAGCAAATCTCATATAGTCACCATTTGCAACCTCCTGCTGACTTTCCCATTGGCTTTACTTGTTGGAAGAGTCAGTGAAGGTTGCAAATGGACATCACATCATTTTGGGATACAGCAATGTTATAATTATGTGAGGTACACAAGAAATGTACATGTTTGTAATTTTCCATTTTTGTTAAAGGAATAGGCATATAGAGGCACTTAGCTAAGGTACTTTTAGGAAAGGAGATATAATAAGCTGAAGGAATAGAGAGGAATTATATATACTGACTTAAAGCATACTTTTAGAATAGAGCACACTATTGCAGAATAGGATATAGCTTATGAATAACATATTATTCAATTTATATAAGGCTTATTCTTTATAAAAACTGCTTAGAGTTAATATTTTAAAGTATAACTATGAACCAAAGTGCAGCCATGTTTAACCAAAGCATGAACTCTGTTACACATATAGCTTCCAGATGGAAAGCAGGCATTCTTATAGAAAAACAAGGGAAGATATAAATCCTTTATAATTGCAATTATTCAGTATGGGTTGTGTTATGTCCTGAGCCTGTGGAAGCAGGCTCGGGGCATTGCAACGGTCCTGGGCAGGTGCAAGCTGCCCGGGACCAGACTGGCTGTCGCCAGCACGTGCGCGCATGCGCGGGTGCTGGCGCGCCAAATGTTGCAGATTGGCCCGGGAATGGCCTATAAAAGAGGCCGGGAGATTTGGGCGTTGTCGGCGTCTTGTAACCAGTATGCTGAACAGAAATAAAGAAGTTCCTGAGAACTACAACTGCTTCTCGTGTCATTGCCATTTCGCGAAGGACGCAACACTGGCGACGAAGGTGGATTGCCTTACATCGACCGAAGACAGGTGTAAGCTTACCCGAGAGAGTCCTGAGCGGTAGGAACGGCATTGACTCGGCAGCTACCCGCCAATCCAGCGAGCATCGGGGATAGGCTGGCTGATAGACCCTTCCTTTTCTACAAAAATGGCAAAAGTAGGAAGACGTTCAGAATTCGACATCTTATATCCGGAAAGATGGGAGTCTTACGTAGCCAGGGTGGAAAACTATCTTAAAGTCAACCAAGTAAGAGAAGATAGTTTGAAAGCTGCCACCCTGCTGTGCGTTTGCGGTCAAGATGCATTCGAAATCGCTGAAAACATAGCAGCACCTGTACCTCTAGAATCTGTTAACT